CCAGTTATTATGATACAAATTCATATCTTTGTGCATGATTATACATATACTAGTTTAATATTAGTATTAATATGTGGTTTATTACAAAAGCAAGACTACTTTTTGGGTTTATCTATAAGTATTTTGGTTTGAATTTTGTGCAAAGCTACATGAGGGCTATCTGTGTCAGCCGTCCCTAATTTAGCAGTGTGAGACTAGAGGGAAGGCGGCTAGTCATCACCGCCAACCAACAACTCTTGGGTTACTCTTTTACCAACGAATAGTGGGATTGACCATCACATTATAACACCCACGGCTGAATGTGCAAGCATGTTTGTTGGAACGGGGATTCGAACCCGCAACTCTTAGATTGTGAGTCTAGCACCCTAACCACTGGGTCTTGTTTAAGTTAAAGATATTAATTATTAAATCATTGTGTTCTATTTTGTAAAAAGTAGATATGTTATCTAATTACTTATTCTCTTTAGTTTATATACATCAGAAAATCTGTTTTGAAAAACGTTACATTTGTGTTTTGAATTGTTCTAACAAAAGTATATGTATCTAAAATACATGTCTGATCAAACAGTCCCTGATCATATAAAACGATGTTATCCTTTATAGTATGTTTGATAATCTTCATATCATAAGATGTAGAGATTAATAACTTTAATGTAAAATCAGATAATTAGGGCTATACAGATAATGATGAATTTAATACGAACTAAAACATTCATATTAAATAAATCTAAAAAATGTGTTTTTGTTTAGGCATATCGTATTATGTATAGTTAATATGATGCATAGGATATATATCGAGGATTTGAATGTTTAATGTAAAAATAATCATGAAAAGTAGTCGTCTTCAGGATTACTACATTAAGTTGCAAGTTTAATTAATGTATGGTTAATCACTTATGGATATACAGATTTATATCATACTTTCTACATAAAACTTCAATCAACATTAAAATAAAATACATTCTCTCCATTACAATCAATATGATGTAATCAACCTGTTATACTACCACAGCCTTTGGTGTAATCAAAGAGATTTATCTGGTGGTATTTATGAAACTATCACCACACTGATAGCACCATATGGAGCACTATCTTTCTGGTGACAGTCTATGGAATTAACACCTATGACTTTACAAACATGATCTCTTGCTCTGTAAGAATCTCTACTATGTGAAATACTTAGTCACTTCCTCTGAACTACTACTACTGAATGACTACTTTAAATGTAGGTAGGGGGGCAAGTATACTACTGACATGACAGTTAAATCAAACCAAATGTATCTATAGCATCCAATAATGACAGTTATGACAAAGTAACATCATTCTCAAAAAAGGGCTGTGAAGTAATTTTGAAGCTATAATTCAAACCTGCTGACAAGGTGCCATGGCCCATGCCTACAGTAATACAACATTGTATTAGCACATACAAAAAGTTCTTACAAAATGCAATGAATCATCTGTAAAGATTGAGGCGGAGAAAGAAAACTGACAATACACAGAAGAACAAGTGAAGAAATAACGAGATGTATCTGTCTACAATGGCACAAGGAAGCAAGTAAAAGGAAGAAAGAAATGGCTAATGAAAAAATGTTTGTTTCCACAAAATGTTATTAAAAATGGTAAGTTGTCATAATTTATAGTAATTTTAGTGTTTTCACAACTTTATTTTACTTTGTCTTAATGGTTAATCTAATTATTTACATTAAGTCTTAAATCACTGTCATTCCCTCTTTCTTCAGTATTCAGCAATAAATCCCACAAACTAGTAGAATTGCAGTACACTAAGCATGTATCTATTGGTTGAACTAATGATGCATAAGGTTAACATTTTGAGGCCAATTTTGACAAAGTAGATTTTGTTCAGGTGCTCTTTATTTTTTTTAGTGATGAGCCAACCTTGGATATAACTGAATATATATTTTGGCATCAATATGAAAATGTTTGGTTTCAATTCAGTTAAATAAATTGCATTGTGTTTGGTTTCAACAATTCAACAAAATAAAAAACAAAATATTCGGTTTTAGTTCAGTGACTTCCACTGTTAGTGCATTAAACCCAACACTGTACAGTTAAATGTCTTACAAATATCTTCTGTAAACATTTTCTAAAAAAGAAAAAAGTTTATTTTTGCACAACAGCAGAAAGAAGAGTAACATTTCTTAAAGTGCGGTTATTTGTTTTACTGAATTTTGCACAAGACTTCTCCAGGGCTATCTGCAATAGCAGTGCCAAATCTTCAAGTGATAAACTAGAGAAAAGGAAGTTAATCAACATCACTCACCACAAACTCTAGAGGTACTCTTATTGAATTGTAGGATATGACTGTCACTTTTATAATGAATTTACAGCTCCCAACTTTGGTGCACAATTTTTGGCAGTAACATAGTGTAATCCAAGGAACCTGATCTCCAGCCCAGTGTGGAGTTACAAGTTAAATCATAAAAGCTCAGAGAAACTTCAGAATTTTGTATTTTATTAAACATTTATACATTCATAGCTAAATATACTCAAATCATTATATAAATTTTTACTTACATTTTCATGTTAATTAAATCAAAGACAATTTAAACATACATATTTTATGTTCAACTTACGTTTTTCAAAGGTAAAAATAAAACAATTACATATTTTATAATAAAACTTTCAGTAGTTAAATACTTTTGTTTGTTATTATTCAATTATCCATCTAAAAAAATAAATCAAACTTTAATAGTTATTAAGTCTGCTAGAAAGATGTACAAAACCTAAACAATTGAAATATATAAATTATTCCGATATTTATAGCTATTATAGAACTAGAGTAACAACCAAAACAAGAAGTTATAAGGTATGTTAAGAGACCTGCCCATGGATAAGAAGTATAAACCTCTATGTAATTATTTTTACTATAGTAAGTTCCTTTAATTGAAGACTTTACATATATATGCAAATAGCATGTCAGGGTTCTTTTGAAGTATATGTTGGAGGACTTCTGAAATGTCAAAAAATGACAGTAAAAAGGTGGTAAAGAAACCTGGTAGTGTAGCCACTGTGGGCAATATGCTTAAGGAGATTTTCTCTAAACCAATACTTAAAATTTTAATATTTAATTATTACTTCCTTTTGTCTTGCTATTATGAATACAACCATATTTTAAAAAGTTCCATGACACTGTGTTTAAAGATATTTAGAAATATAAATAGCAAATTGTTCTTACATGCTTACAAATGAAGATAAATTTTGTGCAAACTAAAGAGTAGAAAAGTTTATTATAAAATACTCTTGAGTATACAAAACTCAAAATTCACAATCACTGTAAAATGCAATTAAAATGAAATAACAGTTGTTCTCTTTACAATGTCTGAGATGTATTGTTTTCTTCCGATGTATCTTTCAAATCTTCCAAAATGTTTTCTAACTCTCTCTGCTGGACTAAAATTTCTTTCATTGCAGTTTCTTTGTATTTATCAAGCTGGAAATTCCATAAATCAAACTGAGTGTAAGTTGGTTAGATTAAAGCAATTTTACTACTAGAACGTTAATTGTATTAATTTATATTCACTTCATTCTTCATCTCATTTGACAAAAATCAAATATTATATATATATGTTAAAGAAGAATCAGTTATAATACATTGCTTTCCTTAATTATCAGTAAAAAGCATAATAACTAGAAGGGTACTCAGTAGAGTGCATACCTCCACCAAACAATGTTGATCATATTCGACTCTCAAAAAATACGAAGGGCATGGACCATTTTTGGCAAGACAATGAGGAATATTCTACATATGTCCACCAAGTTTAATCAAAATCCAATCAATTTTGACTGAGTTATAGAGCAAAAATTGTGAAACGTTGGTCCCCATGTTAACAAGTGATTGTTTTGAATTTTTGTGACCTGGACTTCCCAAAAACTAATCACTTCTAATTAGGTCATAGTCCAAAGGTATACCAACTTTAGTCAAAATCCATTTGGCTGTTTGAGAAATCTTGCTGACAAACACACACGCATAGTGGTGAAAACATAACATCCGTCCACCTTCGGTGGCAGAAGTAACAATGGTAAAAATACATCTAACTGAAGGGTTTTCACAGTACAGCAACAGTTACATACTAAGGTTTATTTTGTATCTAATTCAATCCAAAACTCTGAAACTGTATGTAACAAGAAAACAACATATATTTTCACACAAATTAAACACTTTAAATATATCTCTACAACAATAATTGTATCCTACAATTATTATTTGCAAAATAATAGAAACACTTTTTTTTTAAAAACAAAGCTGAAACAGAAGTACAGCTTCAAGTTACTTTACCACTAATGTGACATAATAACTATCATGTATAGTACACTAATCTAATTAAACCTATATTGCATAAACATATCATTCTGTTAAAAGCTTCACTGAATGACTACTCAGATTGTTAAATACTTGAATTAATTCTACTTTCAAATGAGTAAAATTATAATCAATACACCTATAATATTTTCACCTGCAAACATTTTAAAGATACAGTAAATAAACAATGATATCAAAGTAGGGAGTGTTAGTAACACACTAGAGAATAAGCAACTGAAAAAATGTTTACTGTCCAAGATGTATCTTTTCTATGTAACTACACTTAATAGAAATACAGAAACATTAAAACTCCCAAATTCATATGTTCCTACCTCTTGTAGCTTTTCCTGAAATTACAAGTTATGAAGACAGTATTTGCTCCAAAATTGTAATATCAAACAATATGTGGTGCATTTGTGATGATACGACTATCTAGTACCTGCTCCACTTGTTTGAACATTAAGGATTGGATTATCTTCATACATTGTAAAAGCAAAGGTCAGCAAAAATGAAATAATCAGCATATATATGGAATGTTGTAATAAAATAACATGAATATCTTAAGACATTTTTGAATATAAAACATTATAGTTGTAATGCAAACTTGTAGAAACCTTCACTCTTAACAATACTTTTTACTTTCTACAAAGAATCAGAAAATTTATTAGTGTAAAAAACATATTTACTGTATTTTATCTTCTATTAGTTAAAATTATTGAAAGCATTTAATAATACTTATGTGGGTAGCACTGTAAAAATACTATCCTCAATCTTTGTTCTCAAGTCCACAGACTGCTTTGATCAAAGATAACTGGAATTCTGTAACTTAAATACATCTCAAGTACAGAACAAGTTTAATACAACAATATGGGTTTAGAAGTTACCTTTTCAAGAAGGGATTCATTTTCCTTTTTAACCCTTTCGGAAAATTTTGATTTGACCTCTTCAATATTTCTGAGTTGGCAAAACAGTTTTTCTTTCATATCTCCAAATGGTGCATTTGGTTTATTTCCTGATCTACTCTTCTGCCTCAAATTCTCAAGTTCCCTAAAAAAAAACATTTAAAAACAATGAAGATTATTTGCTTCTGAATATACAGTTTAAAAAGAATTACATTTTTAATTCCTTTACAAGCCCATCACAACTTATTGATCATATCATAATCTTCCACATGTGCTCTTACAAATAAAATGACTAAGCAGTTCTTTTTATTTAAGACTGGATGAAATTAGAATGAAATACTGATTAATAAGATGACTAATGGAAATATGATTCATCTAACGAATGTTTTTTTTATCTGCTACCAGACATATTGCCAAATGAAAAATAATCTGCATTTAAAAAGTCAGCATGTTGGTATTGGTGTTTTTAATCTAAATGGACCTTTATGCAACACATGGACTAAATATACAGTTCAGACATTCTTAAAATTCAGGCATAGCCACATATAATTTAGAACTGCTGATCAGAAGGTGAGCACTTAGACAGCAGTATCAGCCATCTATGCATGAAGCATATTAAACATGTAGCAACTCAAACCTTAGACCCTCTGACTCACAGTCTGGTGCAATATGCTCAGACTAGAGAAACTCAACATGTAATAGTGGCAGAGTCAAATACATGAAAGATTCATGAAATATTTAAATTAAATACTCCATGGTAGTTTATCAACTACTGCTCAAGTGATTTTTGAAAAATGAGAAGTAGAGTAATTTGAGTTTTTAAGCATACATGTTTCACTAAAACTATGTTCCAAGTTATGTGTTTGTTTTATTCTACAAAATGTATTTTTTCTATTCTTTCACAGCTTTGTTAAACTTGAATGATTCTCTATAAATGTGTTTATATGCTGTTACTAGGATGTAATTTTACTATAGCCATTAAGTTTCACAATAGTTCCAAACATATTTCTAATAATTTTGAGAACAAAAAAATGCACAAAAAGAAAACTGTGATAACAAAAGTTTTAAATCATACACAGATTTTGTATTGAAATGTAATATTTTTATAACATTAGTAATGAGGGGAAGAAGACTATAAACTTTCCAATTTAAACTTAGGTCTCTCAGTTCAGTAAATCATTATTCTTTATCTTGTGCAAAAAATTAACTAGTAATATTACATAATTAATTAGAAGACTTAACATTAAATAAATTGTTTGGCTATTTACAAACACAATATGACTTGTTACATTCACAGTAAAAATTATAAAATCAGAAGCTATTTTGAACATGATGGTTTAAACTTAAAAGAAGGGTTATAAAAGTAAGAAATTTTAATAAAAAAGACTGTGACATCATATCTCAGAACATTTTCTTAATAAAAACAATGAATTTTGTATTTGCACATATTTCAGTCATTGCTGCAAGCAACAGTTACAATGACCACATGTCATGCGAGTTTGTTTTTATAAATTGAAAATGTGAAATGTTCCCTATAGCATAACTACACCTCCTCTTTAGTTCAGTAATCCCAACTTTAACAACACTTTTTACCTTCTAAACAGAATAAGAAAAACCTACATAATTAATTGTGTTTTATTTTCCATTAGTCATAATTCTTGAAACCATTTAATAATAGATCTGTTGGTAACACTGCAAAAATGACTCTGAAACTAATACATCACCAGTTAGTTTTAACATGTCCCTCAGGTGCCAAGGGGATGTCTTTGCACCACAATTTGTTGAATATTAAAAGTTCAATCCGGAAACTACCAAAGAGGGTGGTTTTGGATGCATCTTTTCAAGACAACTTCGAGACAAGTCTTCCTTTTTTAATTGATAAATTTTTAATAGAAATACAGCATCCTTAAGTCTCCATACTAGTTAGTACTAAGGTCTACCCACTGGGAGTAAATCCAGTATATATCAATAAAGCCACATTATCAGCATCATTAATTGAGCAATTGCCAACCTTTTATGCTTCTGCTATCACCTTTTTATGTTTAACTTTCAATTGAGATATGAACAATTTCACCTGCGATTCGATAGGGAAGGTCAAAGCATCACGATAGTCAGCAGTAGGATGAGCAGACAGAAATACTTTGAAAGCAGCTACAGGCATAATATTGTACTCGGCTTGCTGCACAATATCTACCAAGGTGGTTCTGAATGGTTCCTGAATATCTCTGCATGTCATTTGGAGATTTCCATGCTTCTTGTACTTGGCCATTAAGCTTGTGATACACTGATTGATTTCAGTCAGCTTATCGCTTAAAATCACTTTTCGCAGCCCCAATACTAAAAGAGTGTGGGAAATGCCTTCTTTTTAGCCAATACAAATGTTCAAAAAATTTCACTTCAAATAAAGAAAAACTGTATTGGGTAGTCATTTTTTCACCCCCAACAAAAATGTCCTCCAATGGCTCATGAGGGGACCTGTTAATGATTTATTTACTCATTATATGAAGCAATGCACAATCTATTTCACTGATTAGATTAATATATCTTTAAAGTTTCTACATAATTGTTCTTAAACTTTTTATCATTCCAGTGTACAACCAACATTAAATTTATAAAATAAATGAGTCAGCGATACATAATAAGGATACTTGTCAACACTGCTATTACAAAAGAATAGACATGAAACAAAATGCCTTGTGTTAGCAATAAATGAAATAAACAGTCATGTACTGGGGTAGATGACATTACAGTTCACTAATAAGACTATTATGAATTTAAATTAGTGTAAATTCTAAAAGTATTTAAATCAACCAAACTAATATATGTTACCTATTAAATTACTTGATTCATCTAAAGCCACTATAAACATTGAATCTCACCTCATTGTTAAAATAATAATAATAATAGTAATAAAAAATGTTAGAATCACCACATTTTTTAAACTAGTATAGCTTTGGTTGGTAAAATAAATGACCTGTTACACCATGCTCCAGAGTACTATTATTCTCCAGGGTATCCTGTAAACTCGTATACAGTACACCCTGGAGCATGTTGTAGTTTTTCCAGGGCACCCAAGAGAAAATCCTTGATAAATTGAAATGTACATTAGACGACTGATGTGAGCTTCTATAGATAAAAGTATCAAAACTAAAGGAAGTTAAGGATTGATTGGGTCTGAGGGGTTTAACTCATCTGAAGGAATGTACACAAAAAAAAAAAACGCCTGTTGGAGTTCAGTTCATTCCTTGGCTTTTAATAGTGCGCATTAAAACTTGTGAGCCATTGAAAGCATGAAACTGTTAGAACTCATGAGATTTTGCTAATCTTAATAATAATGATTTCTTTAATTTTCATCATATGTTATTAGAAAAGAATAGAAGCATTCTTTCTCATCTAAAATAACCTTGACAGAAAACAATCAGGTCTCACTGATTTTGGTATAGTCTTTTGTTATATTCAACTAGAGATGGTAACAAAGCAATTGTTGTTGCAACAGTGATAGAATTGGGTTATAACTTGAAGTATTTAAATCAAAACACATCTGAAATGTCTCATATTTGCATTGTAATTTTATACTGTGAAGAAGAGCTAGTACTGACTTCAAAATTAATATAATTCTGTCAGTGAATATCACTGCCTGTCTACCACCGAAATAAAATAATTAATAAAAAATGGATGAAAAACTTTTGATGCTCCAGAGCATGGCATAATGGGTCAAATACAAACATCCAGTAGCAAGGGCATTTGTACAGGTTTTAGTGTTATAAGAGTAAATTTAGTTTTTCCATTAACCTGTATGTTTCTTGAACTAAGTCCTGCAAAGAGTGCATCTGTTTCTGATGCTGCATGCTTTGTTTGGCAGCCTGATCTTTCCTCACTTGAAGATTAAGGTGGAGTTGTTCAACTTTCTTATGTAACTCTTCATACTTTTTTTCTGCATCTTGGCGTTTTACTCTTTCAGCATCAAGATTTTCTATTTTTTGTCTTAAAAAAAATCATTCTTTGAATTCAGATTTCTAAGATTCTGAAAGACAGTTTTAACAGTTTAATAATAATAAAAAAATACACATACCACAAATATACATAGGTAAGCAATATACGTATATAATAAACAACACTGATTTGGCAAAAAATATTTTTTATAACAAATGTTAATTAAATTTATAAAAAAACTAGCATAACTTTGCACATTTCAATACCAGTTAAATTAATGTACTTCACAATTTATAAATAACCTACATAAAATTACTGTATATTATTAGACTTTTAAAAATATTTCTTGGGTTATTTCAAACACAAAATCTAAACAACAAAAGTTCATCAGTAACCAGAAGAACAACGAGAAAATGGACATAAAATTGTACAAAAAATTGACAATAAAATTCACATAAGGATCAGTGAAAGCAACTTACAGGCTTACATGTTAACAGTTAGTAAGTACCATGCTCCAGAGCACTATTATACTCTAGGGTATCCTATAAACTCATATACAGTACACCCTGGAGCATGTTGTAGTTTTTCCAGGGCCCTTTGTAAATAATAATTATTAAATCTAGAGCACCCAGGAGAAACTCCTTGGTAAATAGAAATGTACATTAGATGACTCATGTGAGCTACTATCGATAACAAACAATAAGAAACAAAGAGGATGTAAATAAAGTGACAGAATATAATGGAGAATGGATTTGAACACGCTTATCAAACAAAATTACAGCATGAGTAGTACTGACATAAATTAAAATAAGGGAAAATTTACTTAAATAAACATATAACATTTACATTAAAACAGCCTTTATGTTTGTTGAACTTAGTGCAAAGCTATTTGAGGGTTATCTATGCTAGCTGTCTCTAATTTTTAAGTGATAGACTAGAGAGAAAGTAGCTAGTCAACAACAACCACCACCAAATCTTGGGCTACTCTCTGCCAATGAATAGTGGGAATGACCATCACATTATAATGCCCCCAATGCTGAAAGGATGGGTGTGTTCAGTGATAGGATTCAATCCTACTATCCACAGGTTGTGAGTTGAGTGCCTTCACCACCAGGCCATGCCAGGTCACAAAGCCTTTACAACAAATTCAAAAGTCTAAAATATGGAGAATAAGAAACAAAGAGGATGTAACTAAAGTAACAGAATATAATGAAGAAAGAATTTGAACATACTTATCAAACAAAAATAAAAAAGGCCTCAATATGCTCAAATAAAATAAAAATATGAAATGTTCATATTTCTGGCAGGAAAAAAATAAATAAATAAAATTATTACTCATAAACATGAGCACATAAAACATATCTGAGCAGACTGAATTAATAATGTACAATTTAGAATTTAAGATATATATATACTAATGTTGACTGAGACATGGTTAAAGAAGAAGTAAACAGATATCAGTTAGATGGATATCAATTGTTTTATAACTGTAAACAGTATAATATGTCTGTGGGGTAATGGTATGTCAAGGGCTATCTGCACTAGCCATCCCTAATTTAGCAGTGTAAGACTAGAGAGAAGGCAGCTAGTCATCATCTCCCACCACTAACTCTTGGGCTACTTTTTTACCAACAAATAGTAGGATTGACCATCACATTATAATGGAGCCACGGCTGAAAGGGCGAGCATGTTTGGTGTGATGGGGATTCGAACCTGTGACCCGCATATTGCAAGTTGAGCACCCCAAACCACCTGGCCATGCCGGGCCTGATATGTTAAGACTCGTATAAGAATTAAAAACTTAAAATATCGAAATGACATTTTATGTATTCCACATCTTTATGATACAAGTTTTTAAATGAACTAAAACATTATAAATATGTAATAAAATTGAAAGTTTAATCTACGTTGGTGAAATAAACCAACTGATTTGCTAGATGAAACAAATTATGTTAATGCGTATATGGATTTAATGGCTGTATTTGGTTTTAAGTTATATATAAATGAAGTAACTATAGAGTTAAACCTATCAATTTCATATTTAAATCATGTATTTATAACACAAATTAGTGAAAAACATTTATATGTAGCAATCATAAAATTTCAATTACAGTCCATTACTTTACAGCACTAAAAGAAATAGAAAAACCAACAACAACAAAATAATAATGATAGGGAAAAGTTTATGAAAAAACTGATTATCAAATTTTAAACAAAATTTAAGTAACATCAATTAGGTAGAAATATATATATGTGCAGATATTAATAATGTATATGAAATACTAAAGAAATAAAAAATCCATTCAATATATCACACATTCACAATACAAATAAATTTAAGAAATCATTGTTTATTAACAAAATAAAAAGATTATAAATGCTAGAGATTTAACACATTGGATGCCATGTGCCCCACAGATAATTATGTTTTTAAGCCAAATTTCTCTTGTGGCATTTGAGTTTGAGACACTGTGATTGCTCCTCAGCACCTTTTGAATATTTAATTCATTACGTGGCAGTCAATGTGTTAATTTATAAAAAATATTCCTTTAATTAATAATATAGATAGTTTGGCAAATGATAGGATTATGATTAATCAAAAGATAAAAAAATACTATAAAACTGAATTTTCAAAATGTGAATTTGATATAAAAACAATTGAATTGTATGAATAGGCTTTGTATGAAAAGCCATTGCCAGGTGTGCATGATGTTGCAGCAGAACTTTGCAGTTGATAATTTCTTGCAGCACAATGAAAACACACTGATTAATTTAAGCCTAATGGCAAACAATTTGTTCAAACCCATAAAATCAATGTGTACATATCTTATGGTATAAGATTTCAGTTATTCACAGACGAAAATCTTCAGTTTCGTTGTGTCAAAGAACAGTAAACAGAAATCTAGGCAAATTTTATGCTGAAGTTTGGCAGGTGTGTTCTTTAACATAATTTGTAAACTCATGGTGATAGAATCCTTTCTGCAATTTAATATTCTGTAATAAATTTATTAAATTAGTGTAGCCCAATTCTCAATTAAGTTAATTATTTCTCATATAAATATAATCATCTACAAAATGGCCTTTGCACTTCATAATTATGTTACAAATAGACCTAGGAGTTTTAAAATTTACATATAAGCCTGAGGATGCAAGCTAAATATACTACGTGACAGTGCTAATTAATCAGATTTTAGTATAACTAAAAGCAAAAGGGAGATGGTTGAAAAACAATTACTGACTTATAATTTCAGGCAAAAGATCATTTGTTTCTCTCACAACTAGCCAATATCTATATGTTAGTACATATTTATATCACTGAAAAAAATCATTATAAAACATGGTAAACCATCTGGCATATATCAGCAGAGATGCATATCATAAACAAAACTATTACTGTTACAAAATGCCGAATATAGAAATTTAAGCAAGTAAAATAGCACATTATTTTTCAGAGATCAAACCTACTTTTGCATGATAAAGACTGCAAATGATTGCTGGAAACACTGACTGCAAATAAAACTCATTACTGACATGTGGTTGGCACTTTGTTATTGTTATTTTTACAACCTTCTAAACTGTGCAGTTAATAGCACGCATTTATTAAATCAAGCACTGTTTAAAATATTTTGGAAATTATAAGAATTAAATAGCTTGTATCAATTTTGTTAAGAGTATTTAACAATAAAATTTTTCTTCTTCAGAATCACACTTTTTACTGAAGAAAATAACCATTAAAATGTATATTTCTATCTTGCACTCAAACTTGTTACTTGCATACTTAACCCTAAAATTACTGATCAGTAATTTGAAGATTTACTAGGACTCGCCCAAGACTATTAAATTGCAAGGCTTTCATTTAGTGTATGTTAAAGACTCGTAGCTCTCTGTAATGTACATCACTGCCTTGCCATGTGCCACCTTGCGTACCATGCACACCTGTTAAAACACTTGAAAATCGGAGAATCTGTTATTGCTTCTGGTTCAGATTTCATTTGCCTTTGACAAAAATATGTCATCATGACAGATGGTTGTAGATGTGCTGTGGTTGTTTGTTCTAATTGTGATAAAAACAGTAAAATTAGTTTTTATAAATTTCCCATGAAAGATAAAAAACTTGGGTTGATAGATACAAAACAGCAGACAAATTTGATCCCTTAAGTAAGACCAGTCACATGTGTATTTGGACCACTTCAGTAGTGATGATTTTAAGAACTATGTGGTCACAAAAGCAAACCAAGATTAAAACCAGGTGCATTGAGTACAAGAAATGCAAGCAATAATGAAGTGTTGCAGAGTGAATGTGCAGCCTGAGTGCAAAAGCTTCTAAATGAAGCCAGCTGTTTCGGGTTCTCAACATGGAGCTGACATTGAAACATGTATTGAAAATTCTTCAAATTCAAATCAGAACAATTTAGCAATGGAACTTGAAGTTACCATTGAAATGCAGAGAAAGGAGATGAAGTAAAGAGACAAAAAAATAGCTGCTTTAAGACCAAAGATATATCTGATGCAGAAGGAAAAAAAACTCTAAACACTGCAGACAAGGTATCAAAGTATCAAGGGCCAAGCAAAAAAATGTGGAAACTGATAAACTAGGTAAAAATAGCCTACATCGTTCAGTTATCTAATATTTCAATTAGATTACTTATCTAGAAATTAAGTATTTTCATATATATCAAAATGTTAATCAAAACAATATGTTGGGTTAAATGTCTTAAAAGACAAATGTTTTAAATTTTATGATATGAGGTGCATGAAATTGATGGATGCATGATTCTTTTGTTAAGTGACCACTTTAGCAACCTTTGTCACTGTAAGTTCTTTAACACCACCAAACATTCTCTTAAACTTAAATCTTTGTTTGTGACCACCAACTTGTTCTTTCATCTTTAAGAAGATTTCCTATTTTATGTGACTTGCTAGGATCTTCTGATCAGCATAATGATTGTCAAAACTGAGATTACATTATATTCTGTATTGATTTTTCTGTTGTGCAAATATTGTAATGTTTTGTTATTCAAAAATTTATGTAGTTACTGCCGTGAGCACAGTATATCTGTTCATCATTGCACTTAATGTATGCAAAGTGGCCAGACAGTGATGTCATTTTTCATCAGCTAATCACAGTACAAATATTGTTTGAGCTAACTTGTAATATAATAGTCTTGGGATTTGTCTCACAGTTTCATTTTATTTATATTGTGGAGAATGTCTTTGTAATCAGTCAGACATTGATTAAATGTAGGGTGTTTTATTACTCTTTTCCAAAATTCATTTTTAAATTATTCTCAAACATCTTTGTGGTTTAGGTATCAGATACTATAAAATTTTGAAACATGTGACTGAATATAATGGTCTGTATATTGAAGTAACTGGGAAGCTTATCTAAAAAAATCCTGGAGACTCTAACAAGATTTCTTCAATATATTTAATAATAAAATCTACCAGTTATTCCAGGCAAATTGGGATGTTTGAAGAAAAATCAAGATCAGGATTCACAAGATTCTTCCAGTCAAATTATAAATATATACCACAGAAAATAAGTAGCACATTTAAAAAACTAATTCAATAAGCAACTGTTTAGTGAATTTCTGAATAAAAGGGTAAAAGATGTTGTCCCTAAAATTTATTTACAACAGGAAACAAAATTAAACTATGAAGATAAGGTTAGTAGCTCAATTTTGTGAATGAGATTCTGATGTGTGTGTAAAAAAGAACAAATAAAGCAACACTACCACTATGTAAAGTCATTATGAATCTAATGTGTGTGTCTTGTTAAATTTTCAAGTACTTGAAACAGATTTAAAATACTAGAAATCACATTCAAAGAGATTTTTTCTAGCTTTATAATTTTTAGTAACTGATTTTGTAAAGCATGGAGAACCCTTGATAATGAATGATGGTCACCACAACAACCTGTCAACAGAACTATTTACAATTATAATGCATTACCAATTTTTTTAAAAGGTTAAATCGTAATCATTTGTTAATTAAAAAAGAAATATATATATATATATACAATGTATCTGAGATAACTTTTTCAAACTTGGTTATACATGGTAAACAAAGTGGTAATTGTCATTATTAAAAATTTTCTTTGCTTTTTACACAAAGAAGAAAGGGGAGAGAACTTGAGAAGTAAACGTCTCAGCTTACTTTTAGAGGAAGTGCATCAGAAAAGCATCCAAAAGACAGCTAAAAAAATAATGTAAGGGTAGAAAATTCAAAATCTTTTAACATAATGATAATTTTGATTTATGTAGTCATAAATGCCACTAATTAAGGAATCATTAGTTCATGACCAGATTGAACACATGAAGTCAGTATTCCTTTCTCACAACTGGACTTCTCATATTCACTTTAATAAAATATTTTAAAACTAATTTCTAGCATATTTTTCTCTAAAACACAAAATCTAAATGATACTCTTATACCTGTTAAATGAACTATAAGTTTCAGGGAAATCGCTTCTTACTTGTATTCCCTTATCTTGCCCAAAAACTCATTCAGAAATTCAAGGGCACTATCTACTCTTTCAGCCATCATTTTGTGGGTTTCAAAACACATCATCATAGACTTCTTTTGGTCTTCCAATTCTTTCTTTCTTGCTCTCAGCTCTTCTAACTTCAGTCGCAGTTCTTCTCCTTCTTTAACTAACTGATCTGGGGATCCTACTATTTTACCTTCTAGTTCCACTTTCTGTTCTTTCAGTGTGGCAATATTAACTTGCTTTTCACCCTAAAAGTAAATAAACAGATATTTTAATCCATAAACTGAAACTTTTATAACAATTTCCTACAATTATTGAGATCATGTCTCTCTACAAGAGTGGATAATTCTCCGTCTTGTTTCTCATGTAATTTTGTTACTACGGCTTTGGTTTCAATTTCAGGTAAGGTTTAGTTATATTCACTGAGTATATGCAGTTAACTATAACAAAATAAAAAAAATTGTGTACTCTAAACACACATCTTTATGTTTTCATGAAATATGCAGGTTTTTTGTGTGTGACTCCTGATAGGATACAAACTAATTAGTATTTAGTAATCATAACAATAACAAAGTAATGAATTAATAATTAGATTAGATGATCTTATATTGTTTGTTTGTTGAATTTCATGCAAAGCCACTTAAAGACTACCTGTCCCTAATTTAGAAATGATAAGACTAGCGGAAAGGTAGCTAGTCAGCACCATCCACTGCCACGTCTTGGACTACTCTTTTACCAACAAAAAAAGTGAGATTTACAATCACATTAGAATGCCCCCAGCTGAAAGGGCAAGTATGTTCAGTGATTCGAACCCATGATCCAGTGATTGTAGAGTCTACTAAACATGACAACAACTGATATCTGATCACCACAATCTTCCCATAAGGTCTTGAGTGTTGAGATATTTTAAAACAGGAAACATTAAATTCATGAAAAGGATTGTTTAACACTCCTTGGGAAATTTTGAATTTGTTTTTGAACCTTAGTTCCTTTTCTTCAATTCATATCATATTTTACTTAATAGCTTTGGCTCTAGATAATGCACTCATAGCTTCTATAAACTAAATTGTGTTTACAAATTTTTTTTTCAGTCCTAATTTATTTTCTTTGCTAAGTTTCTTGAACTGAATAACCACACTTGGTTGCTTATTTCACCATCATATTTCAGTCATATGAAAGCTGTTTGCAATGCATCAGGTTACTTAAAGAAAAGCAATACAGCATTTCAATATAGATTATACATTTTCTTTTCAAGAGAAAAATTTTGAAAAATAAACTTGTTAAAATTGGTTTAAAAAACTTGAAAAAAAAAAGGAGGCAGGACAGATGTTGTTATACAAGCCTATAAAAACTAAATACACCTAAAAATACACAAAAGAAAACTACAAAAAAAGATGCTAATATGCCAAGTAGGGTAGATACATGGGTGAAAAGCTGAAATTTCAATTCAGAAGACCTACAAACTAAGTTTTTGTTTATGCTTCTTTTTGTTGATTATAAAATTATGATCTGTGTCATCTTCCACAGTTCTGTTACACTCAGCAAAACCAGGATCCTACAAGTACCCTAAAAGTTACAGATTTAAGTTTAAGAAATCAATTCAAAAAGTTATTCTTCAGTCTTCTTACCAGAGTTTTCTCAATGTCAGAAATCATGGTCTTCACTTGCTGATATTCTTGTGTAACAGATTCCTAGAAGACAGCAAAGTTCACAAGTTAGAAAGTTTTAAGTTACAAGTCAAACATAAAATCACTGTATTAACTTCAAGTTCTTTTGTAAAGTTCATAATATGAAATGGCTTGTAAGTTACCATAGAAATTAAACATAACAAAAGTAGGTTGAGGCACTGACTGAAAGAAATCACCTGCAGTGTCTATATGGTCTTTGACTACATATAACAATTAAAATTTAAAAACAAGCCTCTAAACCCATACTTTCATACACGCATACTATGCATTTTAAAGATTTATATATATATATATATACAGTGTGTACCAGCAAAATAACCCTGTAATATATTTCCATTAATTCACTCAACTATGCACTTAATAAACTATGAAAATTTGGCACACATAACAATAATAGCCTGAAAAGTTTGAGATGTAAACAGCCCTTACTAATGTCATATGCACTGATATAATTTTTCGGGGAAACACTGTACACAGCGTGGTCACAAGTAAATAGACACCACCTTTTCAGAAAAATGAAAATTTTCAGGCATATTCACATGAATTGATATATTTATAATTTAATTAATATCTAGTAGATCTTCCTTTTGCTTTGTGGAGTTCGTTGATCCTTTGGGGCATCGTGAGAATCATCTCGTCAATTTTAGATTGTGGGATTTTTGCCCACTCTTGCTACAAAACTTGGAATAGATCGCTCTTTGAAGTTGGTTTTTTTGGTTGTTTCTTGACTTGCTGGTCGACTATGGCCCAGAGGTTTTCGATGGGGTTCATGTCAGGGGATTGGCTCGGCCAGGGCAACCTCTAAATACCTTTTTCTTCCTGCCACTTTTGGTTGTTTCTTGACCTGCCGGTCAAGTATGGCC